TTCGAAAAATTCTAGAGTGATGGCCGCTGCGGTGTGTCGGCGTTCACGCTCATGGTGGCGTACCACGAATTTACCATTATCGACTTCTGCACCATACAGTCATTGTCCAGGTTTTGCCCAAGAATTGACCATGTATTAAAATCGTTAGTGTTTGCATGCATGCTGCACTGACGGATATGCACGAATAACAAGCGCGGCCTCAACTTCATGACTGCGTGCAGCATCTCCCACCTCAGCTTCGTAATACCAGCTGGGGACACATCGCTGGGGGATTCGCTGCTCACGCAAGTCCAAAAAAACCGGCACACAAACACACCGCAACTGTCACTGTCCGTTTGCACCGGCTCGGTTACTTCCAAAGCTTCGTAGGAATCGTCACGTAGAGGCCCAGTACGGATTTCTTCAGCCATCTTCTGCAACCGTTTCTTGTTTCTCTTACCGCCCATGCTGTCGTACATCTTGATAACCTTGGTGTCTCGGTCAACCACGAGGCATCCCCAATGCGTGCCACCAAAATTGATAGGAAGAAGCACGAATTGGTGCGAGGCAACACTTTCACCAACTTTGTCGAGCGTGCTTGTAGAGATACGACTTTTGGTGGCCTTTGGTTGGGTTCCATTCTTGGCATCTTTGGCTTTTTTGGGGGGCGGAATGACGACTGTACAATTGTTCTTGTACCGTGCGAGACAAACCGCAAAAGCACACATGGCATTATCGTTTAGCCAAGCGGAATCTCGAAAGCAAAAGAGATTGTTGTACGTCAGGTCGAATCCGAACCCAACCAGCGGTGTATACGGCCAACACTCCAGAATATTTCCCATTATAATACCCGCTGAAGCGGGATCACTGACCGCGGGTTTAACAGTGCTATTCAACCAGGTACAGCAAAGAACCGCATTGCGACAAGTATCTTGTAGCCCCCACAAGGATTTCATAGCTTCCAGTTGCTCTCTGGTGAACTGACCAACTTTTTCAATTGACACCACGTAGCTCTCAATGCTGCCCATTCGTTCACCGTCACTGTCCAACTCAATTTCTTCATCTAGCGCCAATCCGCCCCTCAACTTATCCAACGCATCATCAACAAGCGATTCGACTAGCCGGAATCGCACTCGATCTGGCACGTAATCTCCGTCGACGCGCCACTGAATTGACCTTCCCTCACCATTCTTGTTGACTGGAAAGGTAGTAAGGAAAGACCCAACTTCGCGAACTCCAGGCATGATCATCAATAGAGTATACACCACGTGCACTTTCGTGCACCGAAGAAACATTTGCCGGTGACTCTCTGTTGAAGTCCATAATCATCTCAGCCACGGCATCGTTATCAGACAACTCTACACCTGCGAATGCATCAAGTTAGAGGGGAACAAGAAGACAAGACATGTAATCAAACCAAACATTTACCTTGCTTACGCAGCCGGCGAAGTAGATTGTGCACATCATCCATGGAGACTCGGTGCTTTGAGCTCTCTCGAATGTAGTTGTACACGCTTGTTGTCCCGGCTTCGGATTCAACCAGCAGCTCAATACCTGACATCAAAGGTGAGTCCGCCGGAACCTGGCGAATACCTGGATAAGACCTGTAAATGTCTTCGGAGACACGATGATTATGGGCGTACACTTCACGCTTCATCACAACGCCCCATTGACCGTCACTACGCTTGGTAGCTTGAGCCAGCATCTGAAACGGACAATCGGTAGTACTCAGCTTGTGTGACGTCCGCTTTCCCGTTGATCTGTCACGTTCGGACCACCCATGCGTACGGATAAACTTGCGCTGATAAGGTTCCATCTCTGCAGGGACGAGAGGCAACTCTGAGTCAGGAAGCTCTTGGTACCTCACTTGGCGCCGACGATAAGCATTCCTGCGGGCTACATTGATCACCTCTTTCACCACGATTTTTTGGCGCGTCGCCTCCATGTATTCCTTGAGAGACTGCTCCAGCGAGGCCCACGAATCATGATGCGCCTTAAATACAGGGACCTGAATTAGCTCTTCTTCTTCGACATCGGAGACGGTTCTTTGCTTTCCTTGACGACGCTTTCTCGTTGGTTCCGTCTCCACTTCATCTTCTTCCAGCTCACCCTCTTCCCCTTCGCCCGAAGCGACCTTCTCCTCCTCTGCATCCTCTTCATCTTCCACCGAATCGTCCTCTTCATCGCCCGTAGTCTTCTTTGCTTCACTCGACGTGTCCACACCTCCCTGCCCTTCCTCACCATCTCCTCCTTCATCTGCGACGTCTTCTGTTGCCTCCTCCACTCGCTCTTGAGCATTGCTGTCCTCTGCTACTTCAGTTGGACTAGGGCGAGATGTCTCCATGATTTCTCTGGCGTGTGCTCTCTCTGAGCGCGTACGCGCCGCACGCAAGAGAGCGAGGTTAGCCTGACGAGCTTCCTCGGCCACACGCTCTTGCTCTGCCATCTTCGCCTTGATCTGGGCAGTCTTGTGCGTGCGTGCTATCCTCGGTGCGTGGGAGGGGGGGGGGCTGCCACGTGTCTCCCTAACCGGTGGCTAGGAATCAAAAGAAGAAAATGAGAGTAATTTAAACCGTAAAAACTCTATCTGGACAATACCTGCCGGTATACCTGGACAATACCTGAGTGATAAAACCTGGACAAGAGGGGTGCCGAATTAAAATCTTCGGCGAAATCGTAAGCGCAACCTTCGGCGATATTGTAGTCCACGGATTGGCCGAAAGTAGACACGTAACGCTCTTCAATTGGCTCAAATAGATGCTAGATCCTGGCGTGAACGCAGAAGAAATAGCCAGATAAGGGATGGAAGGTCGCCAGTAGCTGCGCCGACAAGTGCGCCACAGGTCTTTCAAGCAGCGGACGCAGAAGCTATCCGCGACGCGTGCATATCGCCAGAAACGCGAAAGCAGTATGCGTGTAACCTCAACGTAATTAAGCAGTGGGTTCACGACCAACTTTCTAAAGAAGAATCTAACACGAACCGGTTTTTTTATGGCAGTGGAGGTCTCAACCTTGTCGAGTTTACGCCTCGATATTTCGAGATGTTTCTCGTGTACAAACGACGTGGGGCATGAGCGGCTACTTTAGGGGGATATCGCTGAACTATTAAGGTCCTGTACAGGATCAAACGCATTGCACTACCGGTGGAATATGGTGACGGCATAAAACAGCTCTTCTCAGGAATGAAACGCCTCGAATCGGCGTTGAACCAATCGAGCACTCCAAAAGCTGGAAGCAGCCACTTACCTATTTGCTTTACAACGAGCTGTGTGACTCTACTCTGATGCTTCGTGACAGTGGCTTCTCGCATTTCTTTTTAATTTCCCAGCGGAATTTAATGTGCAGATCGATCTCTGTCCAAACCCTTCAAACTCAGCATTTCCTCGAGAAAGATGACAGCGCGGGACTTATTTTTTCAAGACGAAGACCAATCAAGAAGGATTTAGCCCTCGAGACCCGCGCCATCTTTATGCAAACCCGTCCAGCCTCTCACCATGCTGGGTCGCAGCATTCTGGCGTGTAACCCGCGACTGAAACAAGGTCCTCTATTTCCAAGATCCGATGCAAAAATTCGCTTCGGTAGGTCTTTAAACAGCTTATTAAAGAAGGACGGTACTTCAAAAATTCACGGTACGCATTCAGTGCGGAAGGGGGTTGCCACGTTTCCATGCGGTAGAAGCACTGGCGGGCCATCAATAGTGAGTTTATGCCTTCGGTGTGGATGGTCTTTAGGTGGTGTGGGTGTGCAAGACAAGTATTTCCGCTACGAGGCTGTCGGTGACCAATTTTTGGGCCGTGTCGTAGCCGGTTTGCCGGTTAACGAGTCAAGGTTTGCTGCTCTGCCGCCTCATTTTAGTGTAAACCCACGTAAAGTGTAAACATGGGCGTGAAAAAATGTTTCCAGCAAAGGCCAACGATGAATCTTTTGGTGGAATACTGCAGCTATGTCTGACGTCTCTGGTGTACCATGCTAATTTCTTCCTGGATAAATTACCTGTTAGCCACACGCTACTGTCAGCCAACATTTCACGAACCCAAATGCTCTAGTGGACCTCCAGTTAAAGCTTGAAGATGGCACAGCAGAAAGGATGCAGCCAACAGGAATACCACCATATATTGAGCTACACAAGAAACTAGACAAACAGCAGCAATCAATATATACCCTTCTCAGTATTCTTGAGCAGCGAATGGAGCAGGTGTTGGAGAGGAAAAGCGTTGCGGCTGGAAATATTACCCGTCAAATGCTACGCGACGAGATACAATCTTTGCTAGCCGAGGTAGGTCTTCGCAGCATTACTACAAACACGAAAACACCATCGCAGCTTTATGCTCCACAACGCCATTATCACATGGGGGGGGTCATTTGCTGCCAAAAGATTTTACGTTTCCGAGCATCGACCCACTTGGCGCGTGGATGCTGTGGTGGATCGGTGACCAAAGACGCGGCTACCCTCCTTATAACGGCATCTCGTCCGATGATCTAGCCACGCCACAGAAGAAGGCGACGCTCTCAGAATGGCCCATAATAATGCGCCATAATGGCAACGGAGCTGAAGGTAAACCCCACGTACCGATGCTAAGTATCCGTGACGAAGCTCACGCGATTGAACTGTTCAACACGGGGTACGATATACTAAAGCTAAAGCTAAGCAGGCGTAAATGTAGGGTAGATCAGCTGAAGCTTACCACTGTGCGGAGATTGGTCCGTGAAGGGGAGGTTCCGCGCGGTCGGGCCTTTCCATTCAAGACGCGGAAGCGCTCGAAGCAGTACTGATAACAGATCACACACTTTACTTTCACTATTTCGACTAATAAAATGCCTTCTTTGAGTCGTCGCATCTGGAGTCAATTCAGCTCCGAAAGTAATATTAGGGGGTAATAACCTAACTATTAGTAGGTTTTAAACTGCGTTTTCAAGAAAACAAAACCTTTAAAACTACTTTATTTAAAAAAAACGTTTTGGTTTCTTAAAAAAAAATCGGAAATACTCACTTTCCCGCCTCAAATTTCAAATTTGACACATGCAGGAAAAGTGGCGTCCAGTTGGGCTGCCGCCGCCGCTCGAGACGGAGCCGCTGGTTCAGCAGAACCTTAGCACGCGCTCACAGCTGGAGGCGTGGGTAGAGGCTCAGAAAACGCGTATACTGGAGGAAAAGCGTACCGACCAGCTGCAGTCGCAGGAGCACGCGCGTGCCTCGGATGAAGCTCAACGGAAGCGCGAAATGTTGCAGATCGAGCACCAGAAAATCTCAGCTGGTGCGTAAATTATCGGCTAGATTGCTGCGCAGATATACTAACAGCCTGTGCTCTTTCTGCGCAGATACGCACGCCAAGGAGAGGGTGGTGAGCGCGAGTGAGGTGGAGATCGAGGTACTGCGGGCCGAAAAGAGTCGACGCGAGCCCGTGGTTAAGCAATTGTTCGAAAGGACAGTAGAGGAGGACATGAAACTCAAGCAATTACAGGAGGACTCGCAGAGACAACGCACGACGCAGGAGCAGCAGCTACAGGAGCTCAAGCAAGGCCTCGCTATGTATCAAAGACTTGGACTGTTCTTCGAGCATGCAGCAAGTAAGTTTTTTTTTGCAAAGAAAAAAGTGTATTTTTCAACTAACGGTAAAAAAAATATGTTTACTTCGAAGCGGACCGCATCGTGGTGCGGTTCACGCAGATCGACGCGCAGAATCCGAATCGCGAGTTCTCATTCCGAATCACGATCGACCCGATCACCGATCGATATATTGGTAAGCTTTTATTCCCGATTAATTATTCTTTTTAGTTTTTTTAACACTTGTCATATTGTAGTGGACTCTTGTAGTGAGAATGTGGCGTCGCTGAACCTATTGGTGACGGATCTCAACGGGAACGGCGACTTGGCGCTTTTCATTCGCTCGATGCGACGTCAGTTCAAGCAACTCGTCTAAAAAGCACTTTATATACGTTGGCGCTTTGTGTTTTGCAGCGGTGTAGCCACTTGTGGCCTGTGTGGTGTCTGAAGAGGTCCCGGCACAACCTGCGAAGCCCTCGATGGCAATTGCGGTCCAATGAATTTAGATTTCTCGTCTGTAGGAGGAAGTGGAGGCGGCAGTGGTGGATTCCATGGCACGGATCTTTTCCTCTCTGCACGATAAATAGTCGGTCGAGCACGACGCTGCAGCAATTGCCGTCTTTGCGCTAATTTATCAGCTGTATCTTCTCGAGATTCAAACTGTGGCGCGTAAGATATCTGTAATTTATTGCCGAAAAATGGTTTCTGCACTCCTCGCGCCTTGGCATGACGCGCATTGTTTACAGTCTGGTACTGTACCCAGACCGTATCTGTAAACTCACTGTCGTCGTTGGAGGGCTCCTCGAACTGCAGCGCCGTCTCCCGATCGTCTGCGTGGTCTAGCAGTCGATACTCACAGATCTTTCCGTACAAACTGAGTCGCTTCAGTAGATCGTCGATCACTCCGAGCGCTGGCACGTTGCGCACCACTACGAAGCGACATTCATTCGCCACCGTGAAGACGCGTACATTGCGCCCAGCCATGACGCCGACACTCGCAGCCAATCGTCGGAAAATGATACAGAAACATGACACAATGTTCCGCCCACTTAGGTCACTTCAGATGACGCAATCAATAAAAAAAAGAAAATTGTTTAAAGAAAACGACTTTTATAAAACTGAGCACGGCAAATAACTTAACGAGCGCCTTCCCTTCGTCGTCCTCGTTCGCGCCCTTTTCTCTTGCTCTTCGTATGACGTACACGTCACCATCTTGCCACGCAGCATCCACACACAACGTCCATCCGTCAGTCTCAAGTGTCCAGCGGATTCCAGCTCTGCATGGTCGATGATCGCGATAGGGCGGTGGTGTCGCTATGACGCACCGCGTGTTGATTCGAGTCAATCGAATAGCGGACTGCACCCGAGGCGCTCACTCGGATCTGAGACGCACTCAACGGCGCCACGTCGGCGTAATCATTGTCGCTGTCTTCGTCCTCTCCGCTCCCACGTGTCGGATGCCGGCTGCTCTGGGACCCCCCTCTCTCGTCGTCCTTCCCGACACAGACATCCTGCATGGACCGTCGAATGGCTTCCAAGAGCATCAGCTCTTCCAGACGCGCAGCGTCCGCGGGAGTCGTCAAGAGATGCGACGCGGCGTCATTGAGTGCTGCGACACTATTCGGGTGCGGACTGTTGGTCACGGGCTTGTCACTGATGCTGAGTTGCGAGCGCAGCGAGTCGCGGATACGGTGTCGGTCCTCCACCGACGCGTACTGTGCGCTTTGTGTGCTTGAAGGTGCAGGCTCCGAGTCTGCGCGCTTGGGGATGCCAATGGCGCTGCTTCGACGCGGTGACCTCAGATTCTGTAGCGTGACATAAACCAGTGAGTCAAAAGTTGCATACGCAACGCCATCTTGGTGAGGTTTTACCTTCATGGAGCGGATAGTGGCGAGCTCAGCTGGAGACGGAGACGCATATCGAACACTGAAGTCATCTTGGTTGCAAAATGGGCAACTAAACAGAGGTGAGGAGGTCAGTAGGAAATGAAATATCAGAGGTGTCGTTACGCACCAAATGGGCTTTTGTGGCGGACGGATCTGCAGGTAGCACTCGCTGCAAATGGGTTTAGTGCAACAGCTCGATGTGTTGAGGTTTCCGGGATAGAACTGTAAGACGCAAGTGCAAAACTAGTCAGTGCACAAGCCTCAACGAGTGAGAATCTCCCCCTCTCTCTCTCTTACCATGAAACAAATCGGACACTCGAGTGTGAAGCAGCCCTCCTTGGTCTCCTGACCGGGGAAACGTGGCGCCAGCTTGCGCTCCATGATGAGTCGACGCGCTGTCTTGAGTTCCCATGGACAACTCGGGTACAGACTGGCAAAGTAACACGAAATTAGTTTCCGGACTGAAGTTTACCCTGGTGGACAAGGGGTTACGGCGTACCCCGTGGGCTGCGTCAACTTTTCGAGCTCGCGAGTGCTAGACGAGTGGCGCCGACTGATGCCGGACTTCTTGGACGTCGAGTTCCCCATCACAACACGCCGCTTCTTCTCCTCGCGATGGCTTGCCGAGTGAGTCCGAGCTGTGGTCTCAGTTCCTTTTGGCTTGCGGTCTTGTTCTCTGTGCACATTTTCTTAGCTTACGCGCAGAACCGGGCGGCAAATGAAACATACTGTGATGCGATGAAGCTGCAACAGGATGTAACTGATTTAATAATAGAGGCAACTGACCAACGGGGCTTTAGCTAATAAATGCTTCTCCAAGACAGAATCGAAATTACGAGGGTATGGAATCTCATTTTTTCTGAAGATGATTTGCTGATTATCCACGGAAGGCTGATTGAAGTTTACTTTACCAGACTGTCCCAGATAACGAAATGGGCACTTTCGACGGAAATTGAGCATCTTCAAATGAATGCGCCCCATGTGTGCTCATTACTGACACAAGCTCACCATTCGCTTTCTTTCCCTCACCAAGCTATATTATAATAAAATAAAAGCTTCTGTTTCTCCAGTGAAAGGTTACCTTTCAAAGGTATTTAGTGTTCAGGGTGCTCTTCAACTTGTGCATCTGCAATTTTGATCAATATGGGTGCTTACCGATTTTCACGTTTCAAAATCGAGAGGTGCCTCTCAACTGCCAAGTGAGCGTAAAATCTTGGCGCAATCAGTCAAAGTCGCTATGTATAATACATGTAAAGAATTTAGCCAGAACCCAAGTACAGTACCGTCCCATTCATTACTTTTGAGAAAGAACCCAAATTTGAATTTGGGCACTTACAGATCCTGCTCCCTAAAAAGAATCGGATCCGATGGCGGCACAGGATGTCTTCACCTCCGCCACGATCGTACGCGCTTGAACCGCGACTACATTGCGATATCACCTCTAGCGCCTTGACACTGCCGCATTATTGCAGACTGAAGCCACGGGTGAGCGCGATCACGAGCTGCTCGAGGAGATCGAAGTGATCTTTGGAAACTTCAAGTACATGAACAGCGGCGCCTTGACCAAATGCAGAAATTTACAAAAGTTCACAAGTAAGTTAGCACTTGCAACTCGTTATTGCAACTTGCAATTGACTCATTTTGCATCTGTGTTGCTGTTTACCTACGTGCCGACTCAGTGATGAATTGCGACTTCAAGAAGATTTCAAGTTTTGAACCTGTCAGTGCATCGCTCGTGCACTTGTGTCTGAGCAACCAAAACATTTCCAATATAAGTGGGCTGTCGTCGCTGCATGAGCTACGTCATTTGTATCTACAACAGAATAACATAAGTCGAATCGAGGGGCTTGAACGGTACGCGTACGGCACGACGATCAGGCTTAGCAAAGCTCTAATGTGCTTGCTGATTAGCTGCCGAAAACTGAAGACGCTGTGGCTGTTTGATAACTGCCTTACGACGGTGGATAACCTGGGATTCTGCACAAACCTGCGAGAGTTATGGCTACAGGTGAGAGCGATATAACGCGGTAACTACGTTCTTACGTATTGTATTCTACTGTACTGTTAGAATAACAAGATCCAAACGCTGAAAGCATCTAGCGATGGAATTTCGAACCTCGTCAATCTGCAGAGACTAAATCTGGCCAATAACCGTATCCGCGACGTGGATGAGTTCGAACACCTTCGTAAACTCATCGTTCTACGCCAGCTATCGTTTTCAGACGAGCACTTTGGGTCGAATCCGATCGTCCATCACCCAGATTATCGGTCTTCTGCCATAACAATTCTCAAACAGGTACTGTACGCTGATACTATAAAACTGGCAGAATTTATAAGTTTGACTCTCTATTTTAATAGTTGCGTCAACTGGACGGGACTCTTATTCGGAGCGAGGAGCGCTCAACTGCAGTAGATCAATTTCTCACACAGGTACCGATTTTATTTTACACTATTTTGTTTCATTTTATATATTTTTTTCTTAACTACCTGACTATACACGACACAGGCATTGGAATTTAACGACCAGCTAGCGGAGTTGACTCTAGCATACCAGCAGGAGTTGCGATTGATAACTACCAGAAAAGAACGAGGCAAATCAAACGCTCAGATGTTGCAACAAGAGCTTATGGAAGCTTTAAACGACGTTGAAACTTGTGTTACCGCTGGACAGGCGCAGATTGAGGAGGAGAAGCAACGACAGCTTCAACTGCGCGAACAAAACGCTGACTTGTTGCGTGAAAATGTTGCAAAGATTCAACACGATTTCTGTACGGCAATTAACGAGCAATACGATCTCGAGGATAAAGCATTACTCGAAGAAGAACGCGACTACGAGATCATGGAGCTAGAGGCGATGGCGGAACAAAGACTAGCGCTTACAATCGCTGCGGTACAGCACGAATATCCACATAAGGTTGCGTTCCAGCAACTACTCGAGCACATGCCGGATTATCGATTTATTGCTGCAAATTTTCGTCGACCGACAAACCAGCAACACGACGTTGCATCTGGTGTTGATGAGAGTACCGTGCATATTCTCCAAATGTATCGCTGCTTTCATGATGATCTGACTGCAGCGTATGAAAGGAATACGAAGCGAATGGAGAAGGAAAAGTCAAGTGGAGGCAGCGAGTTGTATCTGTACCTAGTTGCGAACGACGACGAGCTGACTTTACTCCTTCAAAATGGACTGGGACATATAGAAAATAGCGAGTGGGTTTTTCTCTTCTCGAATCCTCTTGTGGCTCTGGAATTCTATAAAGGCACAATTGACAAACTGGAGCCTTTAGAGACGGACGAGTCGCTGGCACTTTTCTCGTCTGAAGTGGATTCTGATTGTACTACACTAGTGGAGAATTTCAATCTGCTATTGTGCCAAGTCCGAATGCAACAAACGATTGAGTTGTTCCACCCTCAAAGTTTACCTTTGACCTCGCTTGAAGCTCTGCATGCTATAGCCAGTCCGAGAGGATCTGCTCTCCCACCGCCACCTACAGCGTTCTTACAATTTGAACTAGGTGAACGACACTCATGGTCGACTTCATCCTCTGGTGGACATGTGTATATGGCACGTCGAGCTCATGTCCACTCACAAATTTTACCACAATTCGTGCTGCTGTGTTCGAAGCATCGTGAGCTTTCCACACGTACACACGCTTCCAGTCGACGTGTCGGTGGTGAAACGCCGAGCAGCGAGTTGCTACTGACCCAGTTCCAGCAGCAACTACGCGCTGAAATTGACGCGTATCACACACGTCTCTACGTTGAAATGGATCCAGCAACTGCGCGACTTGAAGCGCAATTCCAGCACGATAACGAGCAGCTTCGACAGCGGCTCAAGGAAAATGAAGACCGAATAAACCAGGAAAAGATGGAACAGGATCGGATACTGCGGTCGCTTCGGGGTGGCGGCAATGAAAAGACAGACCGCAGACGAAAGGCAAATTTAAGTTGCCCGTCTTGATCTGATAATATACCGGTATTGACATGGCTACATTTGTCTGATCTCTTACAATTACATGTACAACATTTTGTCTTGGCAATGATGCAAGTCGAGGTTTTCAATGCGTTGCCTCGACATTTTTTCATTGGATCATTGCCGTGTGTCGGGATAGAACTCACCCCAACACACTGCACAACGGCTCCATCTCTAACTTAGTCAGTCGTACCGTATTCTCATCAAAATCACATTTTGCCTGCTATACTGAATAAACCGCACAACTTACACAGCCATGTGGAAATCCTGTATTGTTCTGACCTTCTTAACCACATAAGCCTTTCCAATCCACGCTCTATCCGCTTCTCCCGTCAGCAACAGCCACCTCACTCCTCATTTCTTCCTGAATGATCCGACCTGTGGACATGATGGGCAATGGGGGCTCCGACGTGCTTCCTCGTGCGCCAAGCGGTAGCGCACTGAGCGAGCGCTCTCCTCTGCTTCGTGCAATGGGTCATGGCGACTCGACGTCTTTCGAGGGATCGTACATGTCCATGCCTGCGCCCTCGAGCGACAATGGACGACTCTCCGACACGGGCCAGTTCCAGCCGCTGATCTTCGCGGAGAAGGCATTGGCCGCGCTCTTAAATGGGGTGTTACTGTACGCTCTTGGTTGCGTCGTGGGAGTGGCACTGGTGTCGCTCAACTTCGAAGGTGTCTTAGGCGCACGTGTCAACTGGTGGCTGATCTTCTTACCATTCTGGCTTGCCAATGTGGCAATGCTGTACGCACATATAGCGTCTATCCGTCATGCCAAGACACTGCGACGTTGGGCTGACGTGGAATCCATGAGCAACGAGCCGCTACTGCCGCTTCTCCGTCGTATTGTACTGGTCTATGCTATCAGTGTCCCTCTCACGGTACTACTTCTCTGGAGCGAGTTGGCATTTTGTGCCAGTCTGCAAAACACAGCGGCCACTAGTCTCTACATCTGCTACGCGCCACTCATGGTCATTCAAGTGGCGTTTGTAGTCCGATATCTACTCTGCAGATCCGACAGCACGTTGCCGGTACGCAACTTGAAAAAAAAAGTATCTATATAAATTGTTGACTATTTTCTAACAAAATTCATATTTGCAGGGAGTATGCTGGGTCCTCATGTTTGTTTTCACACTGCTACTAGCGTACCAGACTGACACTCAACGAAGATTCGGATCGCTAGACACGACGCCGCCTCCAGTATCATGGTGGATCGTGTTTGCGCCACTGTTCGTCTTTGAGTTGCTTATGACGGGGTCACTATTGCTGGTACTGTACAACGAGTTTGCCGGTATTTACCGGTTGACTCGGTGGCAACTGGCAGCGAGTGTACTGTACTCACTGGCTCTTGTTGCGGGAGTGAGTGGCGAGCTTATGTTGCTGGAGCAAGTGGATTATCACTGGGGGACATTCACTTTCCCTTCAGGAATGATGTTCTTCGGACTCGTATGTGCATGTGTAGCCATGTATATTGTGGGTCGTCACCACGTAGAAGAGCTCATGGCTTCTAAGGGCGGTGCAGTGCCTGTGCCCCTTACAAGAACAGCAGACGGGTGGATTACCAGTCATGCAGTTGTCGAGCAGTGGGTTCTCTTCGGAGATATCTACCTCACTGCACAGGGTCTGCAATTACGTAATCAGAAGACAAGAAGCAACTCTGAAGTCGAGTCGGAGGCAACTGGCAGTCGCATCTTGCGGCAAATGAAGGGCCTTTTAACCCGAGTTGCCTCGGAGGAAAACATTGGCGACAACGACCCAGAACGTCGTATCCGGAATGTGTTGCGACGAAAGACGTCGGGTAGCTACAGTGACGTCATGCTCGAAGTCGTGGATACGCCGAGAACTCCCAATGATAGCAAACGTTAAAAAAAAGTTAAAAATAAAAGTGACCTTTCGATGTTGCCTGAAACGACGTAACCGCCTCATATATTGGGAAATCCACTCTTTCCAGTAAATGAGGACGATGCGGCCAATGCCCGAGAACAACATGTCAGCTAATGGGAGTGACGCGAATGGACGACAGATTCATCGACTGGAAGATGATCCGAACCTGCAGACTCTCACTCCTCGATCCCTGGCGAAGAACATGGCTGAGATTGAAACTTTGCGGTCCCGAGTGCTAGAACTCGAGCAACAACTTGCAAAACATCAAATCGAGGCTCTTACACCGACTAAAACGAAACTACCTCCTTTGACTGATGCAGTGGTAGGATTTAAAATTGAAGTTATGCTTAGAGCGACTTATTAACCTTTGATGTTGTATCTATTGGCATAGTTTCCTAGTGGGGGCCTTTATGCGTCGCAAACAAATGGCGCAAAGTCTACAAGCGAACTGAGAACTATCCACAGCAATGACATCGCTTCTGGAAGAGTAGCCACAGCACCTGCAGCAACATCAAGACGAATTAGTGCAGGGAAGAGCGTCGATATAGCTACAGGGGAGCGTGGCCCCCGTGACGGCAAAATCCTAGCGTTTGTTGCCAACAGCACTGACCCCGACGCTCTGGATGAGGTAGACTTGTCAATAGCTGATTGTGGCGGCGCATCTCCTCTCTACGAAGAAACAAAGATCACAATTGGCCAAGACGGTGAAGCTGTAACAATTGCGGTATCTCAAAGAAATCGATTGTACCAGATTCTCAAACGCTTGAGTACAATCACATCGATACCCGAAGATGAGGTACGCTGCAATAAAAGACGGATTCGTGTTTTTTTTTAATGTAATGCGACGTTTTGCTACGTCCAGCTCGTAATGCTCAAAAAGCTCGTAGATTCAGAGATGGGTGACGTCATAAAGTTTCTCTTTGAGATTGAGTCGGAGCCGTCCGTCACTATTATCCGTGATAAACTAGCCGTCCTCGTCAAGGATGGGTCACCTTCCAAGCAGCGTAGCCTCGCTCCGCCTCGTCATCCACTCTGGAGCATTCAATACCCACTTCTTAAAGTTGCGCAAAATCTAGAGCAACTTCGAGACGCCGAGTTGACAGCCCCTTCTCCAAAGAAGATCGACGTGATAGTTCTGGTTTCCAGTGGGGCTTACAACCCCATTCACATGCTCCACATTCGCTCTTTCTACGTCGCAAGACAATACGTCGAAGCCAACTACAAATTCCCCGTTGTTGGAGCTTTCATCTCGCCATCTCACGACACGTTTGTGCGTGTCAAGAATCGCCGCAACACGCCTGATATGGTCACCAAAAGACACCGATTGGCGTTGATAGAGACAGCAGTGGCGTCGTCCTCGTGGATCGAAGTGGACAAATGGGAAATCACTCGACGAAGAGTACTTGACTATTTGAGTACACTAACTCATATAAGAGAAATGTGTGAGTCACATTTCCCTCAATATCGCTTCCACGTCATGTACGTCTGCGGATGCAACACGGTGGTTAAACTGAGTCACTCCGCTCTACGTGATGAAGGCTTCGGTTGCATTACCGTGTGTCGACCTGCACAAACGGAGATGGTAATTAAACAACTGGGAAAAACACTGGCGAAGACGACGACAATTGTTGAGGATAGTGGCGTGTTGCCGTACGAACTGGAAAGCGCAACAAGTTTCCGTGTACGCCAGGCACTCACGAATGCCCATTCGAACGCCAACAAGATAGAAATGATGGTAGGGAAGCCACTTTTCCACTATTTATTGAGGCACGAGATTGGAGAGAAGATCGCTGGCAAAGTGAGCTGGTCCGACGAAGACAAACAGTGGCGGCAACAAGACCTCACCTATGTAGAATATGCCGAGAGTTAAATTGTTAATATGGAATGAAATTAACTGGTCCATCCCAATATTAATTTCTAACGCAATTGTGTAGATCCTTCACCGCCTTCCTCAACTAAGTCACTTTCCTCAACTAAGTCACTCTCCGTGTCGTTGTCCAACAATTTGTCGCTCCCATCTTCATCCTTGTCTTCATTGCCGTCAGACTTGATATCGTCACTAGATTCTCCGCCACCGGAGTCCTCGTCGCTTGAGTCTTCGTCGCTAGAGTCCTCTGACTCACTGTCCTCTTCATCCTCAGCCTCACCCTCAGTTGAATCCGTCGTCTGATCGTCAGTCGAAGGGGTTTGCACGCTCTTGTCTTCGGTCCCGTTCGCTCGTTCCTCGGCTTCAACGACCGTCGGGGTCTCAGTTATTAGATTCGTCGTAAGGTTTTCAGCGTTTTGCTCTTCTTCCTCAGATTCTTCTTCATTCTCAGTGTCAGACACCTCAACTGGTGCCTCGGTAGAAGAGACCGCCTCCGTCCGTGAGCGACTAGACGACGCTTGCACGCTCTTGTCTTCAGATTTCGTCTCCGCTTCAGCAACACTCGTCGTTGCTGAATTTATCGGGGCTTCGGTACTGTTCTCTTCTCGCATAGCTTCACCAAACTCCTCATCTAGATTGACCGTTGTTGTGGTAATTACTTCGGGGGTTTGAGGGCTTTGGTCTTCTTCTTCAGCGTCACCCACATTGACAGATGACTCGTTAGACGAGCTCGTGGATGAAGCCGATGTCAAGTTCACGTTTTTCTCGTCGAGTTCTTCTTCTTCAACCTCGTCCGACGTTTCTTGTGGAGTAGTCGGTGTAGTTTCAATGCTCTCTTCCGGTTCATCAAAAACCCCTTCTTCGGATTCGAGTACAGTGTCAGTAGTTGGGGCTTGTGTTTGCAGGTTCTTTTCTTCCTCAAATCCTTCTTCTGCCTCATTTAAGGCGTTCGACTCGTCATTGTTGATGGCATTTTCCTCTTCGCCAGTCGTCGTATCCGCCAGAGATCGACGAAGATAGATCCGCTTTTCGGTAGTCGCCACCTGGATGGGAGCTGCGATCTCTGAGCTTGCACTCGTCGGTAGCGCCGCCAACAGCGACGCGGCAGCCAACATAACGCAGTAAATCTTCATGGCCACGTGCGACTCTTTGCCAGATTCAGAATGAGCGTTCGTGACAGTCGCAAGTTGCGAGCTCAGTACATTATTAGGGAAACCTCGAGTTTGCCTTTTCAGCATGGAAAGTCAGAAAACGCCTACTGGTCCCGCGAAATTTTGGGCGTTTTCCATAAATTTTTAGCGTAACGTTAGCGCAGATTGCCAACGTGCATAAGTAGTACGCCTAGGAATGCCTATTATGCTCAAATATTTGAGAAACTTTGTCCAGAGTTTCAATGCGTAACGGGGCAAGATCAGCTCTAGTGAGCTGGTCCTTTGTTGCCGCGATGACGGCGAGATCAAGTAGGAGCACTCTTCCTTCATAATCTGGAAGGCACCTTAGCTCAGCTATCTGTGGAGATTCTGGGACGGCGTCTCAGATTTAGGACCAATCTAAGTAGGTCCATTTTGGTCATTTTTTAATAAATCGTTTCAGCTTTTAATAAAATTCAATACATGAAGCATAGGTTAACGAGTTGTGCCCGAAAGACTCCGCACACGATGTTCCTACTACATGTAGGAACGTAAGGAGTGATGGCACATGGCGCCTTTTCAGAAAAATCATTTCTGTTATAACTTTAAGCGCAACGTTTCCACAAAGTTTCAACCGTCAGCTCAAAGTTTTAGCACTAAGCGCAACGTTTCCACCAAGTTTCAACCGTCAGTTCAGTTTCAGCATTACAAAACAGCCGTTTGTTTGCAAAAAGGCGCTCTAGAAACTGCCATAAAGGCGCCTTTACTCCATTTCTGCCATCACTGACGGGCCCGGCCCGTAGGAACTCCCTACGGGCATCCATTTGCTTCGTGTCCAAACCTCAACCGGAAGCGAAGATGGCGATGAATAGCCGATCCACATTTGGTGTCGTCGTTACTGAGACGTGAATGTCGATGCCATCGGTCCGGAATTGCGTGCAGGAAGTTTTTCCGTGTCACTGGCGACAGGCGCTAACCTTGTGGAGCGAAAAGCCGCCCTGTGGATACTGTGGCATATTCTGTTCGAAGCTCATAACCCGATGGGTTACCCACCAATTGTGTAGGACATAAACTTCTGCATCTGCCGCCCCCTTACACGGGCATTGCTATTAAATTCCTCCGTAAACAAGTAGAGTCCGCCGCATGCAAAATGCAATCGGTTCAGCACACTGGGCCCAGCTTTCGCTGTTAAATCTTTGTCACGCGCGAACAAGAAGATAAACCTAAAGACTGAGCTCAGTCGATTGGCACAACACTCGTGAGCAACAGCGTGTTTTGGGCTCTATGCCCTGCAATTTGGTCCTTACTGCCTTACTGTCGCGCTCACAAATCCCCGAATCTACTATAATTGGCTCTTCAGGCTGAAGTTCAGCCAGTCTTTTTATTATGGAACGAGGATGTCACAACCACGTCTTCTAGCTTTAATTGTCTGGAGCTAACCAAAAGGAATTCAGCGCTTTTTCAAGTTGCGCCTCGAATCATGTGCTTTAGGCCCCAACTTTCAACCCGAGCAATTTTTTTTCTTGCTGTCTGATATATAAATAGATGTTTGATCCTTGTAGTGAAATCTGCACCTGTACCCGCTGGACCTGAATTCCCCGTCCTATCATACTGCTGATGTCCTCGCGACAATAGGTTAACTGGTGTGTGGTGCTGATCCTCTTGACAATCGGGGTCCATCACAATGCAACCATTTCAGTACTGAATCCAGAGAGTATTTCGTGCTCCTCATTCGAAAGGTGTGCTCTGTACTTCCCCTAGGTATTTGCGTGCCGCAACTTCATTTGCTGGCGGTGGGATGTAAACGACCGAAACAGAAAACGCCCGAAGCTATTGTAGGCGACATTGAACATTGGGCCAGAAATTGTAACCCATACTATACAGACTGTAAAAAGTCTAATAATTGTCTGTTTGATATAAATAAAAGTGCTATATATAACTTAGTGTCTTGAGAGAACGGTAGAACTCATCAATTAGCCAGAAGCATCCTTTAAGGTCAGCGAAAATGTCCGGCAAGCACGAGTTCTGCCCAGGAGAGAAGCGGGTGATGGTGAACAGCTACGAGTATTTCAAAAGCCAGAAGGAACAAGGCCTCTTCAAAGGCATCAGGACACGCCAACTGGTCTCTGATTGCCTTGGGTGTGCTCCCAACACCGTTGACTCCGTGGTTAATGAGAAAAAGAATAACTCAGACACTTATTTTGAGGTATATCGATTATAACTGATATTGTCACATTTTTTTTTCAAACTAATATTTGTACAAAGCCCAGAAGGAACTAGAACAGTAGATGATAAAAACAAAACAAAATCCATGTATAATCCCTTTATAATTTGTTTCACCATCCTGCTGGCAGAATTGAATGTTAGATCGACAAGGGCAATCTGCGACCGGGCGATGTGTCATCTTCCTTTTTGACATATGATTTTAATTCTAGACCAATGGCAACTCAACCGACCTCAGACAGAAAACAATCAGTCGCCAACGGTACACGACATCTCGATGCATCCATTTAATGCCATAGCCGACACCTTCGACGTGACTCCAGTACGATCTCGACCTGTTCTCGCACCGCGAGTACCAGCCGTCACAGCACTGGCCGCAGAGCGAAGAGCCCCCAATCGACGCAAGAAACTTAAATGGCGGACGCGTGATTCCCAGGCTTCGCAGCTCTACAACTTGGAGCTGGACGTCATGCATCTTCAACAGGAAATTCAACGCTTGGCAGAGTATCAACAAATTCTCGACGCCCGCACTTTCAATCGTCGTGATGCGTTGGATGGCTACTACGTCAAGACAGTGCAAGAGTACCACCGTGTATTTGAGAACGGCTATCGTCCAGGCACCCCGCTTGATGCGACTCAGTACGTTATGCAAACTATGGACGAGAACACTGAGTATTGGTGGGTTCAGCGGACGTGGCGTGATGCTGCATCAGTGGGAACAATACACAAAGGCGCTCTCCGGCCTCGAATTTCACTACCTGCGCTCTCAAGTCCTCTCGATGGAAGGACGCACGGTCGTCACGTCCTATGCCAGCTACAAACACATCGTAACACGAGACACTGTGGAAGTCATGTTCCCTGAAGCACTACGACAATATCCACGCATTGTGACGAAGATGTTGGGGCGTGTGTTCAAAGGCGTCGGCAAGTTTGACTTCGTCTTTGACACGCAGACGCACAACATTATCTCGTTTGACTTCGAACTTGACTTCCTCGAAGAGTTTTCTCGTTTGCTTCAGGACCCGCGCGATCTTTGTGCCATTTTCGAAGGAGCAAGGATCACCGAGGAATGTCTGATTGGCGACGTGACTGGCTACGGGGAGGTCCCGTCGAGTCCGAATGCTGGTCCAATTGCGACAGCTACAGTTGAGAAAAAGACAGAGGCCAGTTTCGATACAGATTTGGAGGATAAGACGCCTTTAGGGCATAGCGACGAAGAGTGGCGACAGCCTTCGTTGACTAATAGGACGGGCAGACGCAAGGAGATTTGGGAGTAGGAGAAGCGTGTCATGAAGAATTTTAACGATTCCGTCCAAGTTGAGGTGATTTTTTCATTACACACCTGCTGTACTTAGACTCCACGCTGGTCGTAACTGTAGTGAGACATGGGACAAGGACATCGCGTCCAGTATAATTTTCAGTGCTAGGACGTCCATGTAATAATAGATGAATGACAAAACCCCCTCATCGCGTGTTTGCTGCTCGCAGGCCTCTGCGATCTGAATATCA